CTGGGTGACAGGGTCTGCTCTGAATGCTTTACATAAAAGCACCAGGGTGGTTCCCATGGCAAACGGGTCCGTTCTCCTGCTCACTGCTTCTCTCCGCACCTGACTATCAACGATGACTACAGGGCATGTATAAAAGGTCCTACGGCTGGTCACCTCCCCTGCTTCTTCCTCTACCTCTTCCTATTACTTTCTTCTGGGATAAAGATCCTTCTTCCAGCAAAAGAAAAATATTTACGTGCTTTTTTTGGGTGAGATGGAAAAAATGCACAGGGAAATAGTGAAAAAAACTGAGATCCATTAATTTAACGACGACACAATGAAGCTGACGGGATTCTCCCAGCCGGATTTATTTGGGAACAGAATGAGGAAACACGCATAATCCTGCACTAAGTCTCTACCAGACAACACTTATGACGATGACAGCGAAACCAGATCTAGGAACTATTCCAAGCCCTGGAGATTAGCAAATAATCACAGGCTCAAGTCCTAATACAATTCTGGAGAGACATGGAAGGATTCAGAAATTAACTAGCAAAATAGGATTTTAAGAAAAAAGAAGAAGAAAATTTTGACCTCCACGTGCACTGGTCAGCGTCAGCAAAATTCTACATTCACCTATGTGTAGCCCATCATTGTACTTCATATTATTTGATAATTATCTCTTGATAAATCTGTCTCCTCCTCTAGATTGGAAACAGCCTGAAGTCAGGAACTGTCCATTTCATCTTACTGACTCCAGGACAGTGCCCCGGTTTAGGCAACAACAGTTTACCAGCTCAATACTAGGAGCTCCCTGGAGTCAGCTTTAGATAAAATCCTAGCTCGGTCCCTTACTAGCAGCGTTATTATGGTTGAGTTCCCTGGTGGTTCCAAGCCTCAGTTTCATCATCTGTAAAATGGGTTAATAGAACCCCCATTGGACTCTGAAGAATGAAAGCTATAATATAGGGAAACTAGTTCAGTAGCTTGTACACAGCACTCAACAAATGGCAAGTATGATAAGGCACTAAACATATTAATGCCCAGACTACGGTGCACTGACCGTGACTGCAGGAAGACACAAAATAAGGGAAAATGGCCAGCCGTGGCCGTAAGAAACTCCCAGCCCTCGTACAGCAGAGCACTCGCCATTGATGCCTGGTACCCCAGGGACAGCAAGGACTAACTCTGACAGTTTCCCAGGAGTCTGTCCACGACTGACCTTGGAGCCCACGGGGCTGGCTGGAGACCCTCTCACAGTCAGTGCCCGGATTACATCAGCCTAACTCTGTACCTTCAGTCTCAGCTGCACCATCTTCTTATAATCATGTTAAACGTTCTTCGTAAGCCAGGCCAACAACATGAACGGACAAAAGGAGTCCCTTATTCCCCTCATATGTAGAACCACGACTATTCCACACAAATAGTTAAAAATCGCTAACACTTTCATACTATCTGTATTACTTACACCTAACAACAAAATCTGCTCTATTCTATCTGAAGCAGGCAGTTTGCCATGATGGAAATGGAATAGATAAAGGTGCATGTGATGGGCTGAATAACGACCCTCAGAGATGTCCACATCCCAATCCCTGGAACCCGTGAACATGTTGCCTTACGCTCAAAAAGAACTTTACAGGTACGATTATGAAAAGATCTTGATATGTGGAGATTACCTTGTCACAAGGGCCCTTGTAAGAAGAGACAAAAATTCAGAGAGGAGGCAACGTGACCACACAGGGAAGGAAAGGAAAGAACGTAAAGCGATACAGAGCCAGGAGCCAGGAATGAGGTCGGGCCCAGAAGCTGACAAATGCAGGAGGTGGGGTCTCCCCTGGAGCCTCCAGACAGAGCCAGCCCTGCTGACACCTGAGGCTGAGCCCTGTCAGATCAATTTTGAAGTTCTGACCTCCAGGACTGTAAAATAATAAAGACATATTGTTTGAAGCTGCTAGGTTTGTGGTAAGTTGTTACATTAGCAATAGGAAACTAACACAGAATATAATCAATAGATAATAATTATAAGTGAATAATTAGGAAATAGCTCTCTGTGATCTATAATTTACAAAGCATTTTACAGACATCTACTTTTTCAGCAATCAAATCCTAACTACCCTGCCAGAAGTTATTAAGTTCATTACACAAAGGTAACCATATAAATTATATAATAGTGCAGATATGCACACGCCGATTTTCTACTTTGAAGGCAGGAAAGTCTTTTTAATGACATTTAATACAAGAGACCCACTGTCTACTCCTGGATCCTCTGAAGAGAAGACAGTTGTAAGCCCACTTAAAACTTGACGTCAACCACTAGCTTGTGGTCACAACTGCGTCATTCATCTGTGCTTGCCCCACCGTGGTGTTGAGCCCAATGCTCCATTCAGTGCTGGTTGGTGTTCCATCAATGTTGGCCAATTTAATAAATGACTCAATAAATGAAAGACTGAATGAGAAAAACTTAGAGCCTTAGCCAGGTTCTGCTTTTGATCATTTAGATGGCGTTTTCTTCCAAATTAACCAAGAAGGACCTGGTGCTAGAATAAAAAGAAGCAGCTTAGCAAAAAGTAAAAAAAAAAATTTAAAGTTAAAAAAAAGTAAAAAGTTTAAGAATAGGTTTTTGTTTTTTTTTCTAAAAAAAGGCCAACAAAAATGAAACCAGACCATCAAATAAATGATAGAAGGTTCTACTTTTAGTTAGGCTATAAAAGTCACAAAAAAACCATCGGTCCCACTGTAAGCATGAGAAAACAATAAATTTAGAAATCTTTTGTCATAAAAGATACCAAAAGAGATCTGGATGCAAGTCTGAACGAACAGAATTCCAGACAGAGACGAGCCCTAGATTCCAGAGCTTCCAGCGCTGGGCACGAGTAGGCGGAAGACAGCTGCGGTTGGTAAAGAAACTCTGCTGGAATGAGGAGGGATGAGCCACATGTTGCCCAGCCAGGCCTGGCTCTTGGCAGATTGGAAAATGCAGAGACAGCCAGCCCTCACTGCAGCCCAGTCTCCCTCCTGGTCTTTTTGCTCAGCAAGCATCGGTGCTGGAGGAAGCTGGCAGCTGGGTGGAAAGCAGAGAGAGATCACATAACCTCACACGCAGACCCCAACCTCTACCGCTCAGCCAGGTCTCACCGCTGAGAGGAGAGGAGACGTGAAATTCAGTTCGACTACTCCTTACGACAAAGGGATCCGGCTCATCACCTTCACCGCCTGACCAGGGAAAGGGTAGGGCTTCCCGAGGAAAAGCGCTGTCCACCATTTAAAAAGTAGGACGAGTGAAGAAGCAGGAAAAATGTGACCCATAGCTAAGAAGAAAGAGAAGATTAAAAGGAGAACAACAGAACTAAAGGGTTGGAAGTAACAGACAAGGGCTTAAAAATCACTACTACGAATATGCTAAAGAATTTAAGGGAAAATGTACAAAATGGGTGAAAAGATGGAGAATTTCATCAGAGTCATAAAAACTCTAAAAAGGAAGCAAGTAGAAACTGATGACTACAGCATCTGGAACGATTAACTCATTGGAGGGGCTTAATGGCTAACTGGACACGACAGAGAAGATGCGTAAACCCAAAGCTAAGACAAGAAAAACTGTCCAACATGAAGCACAGAGCGAGAAAATAAAAAAAGTCAAACCCCGGGCATCAGAGTTCTATGGCACACGTGCAAATGGCCTGATACACATGCAGTTACCACCTGAAAAGCAGAGAAAGAAAGGAGGAGAATTGCCGGAAGAGATACCAAATGAGAATTTTCAAAGAGGGTTGAAAGTCACTAATTTAAGACAGCAAAACCCCGAGCAAGATAACAGACAGAAAAGTCATACACAGGTCAACCTGCTAAAAACCAGAGTGAAAAGATAGAGGCAATGAAATGACATGTTTAAAGAGCTAAGAGAAAAAAAAAGAAAAAAAAAAAACACGCACAAACATTGGCAACCTAGACATCTATATTCATGGAAAATAGTCCTAAAAAATAAAGGTGAAACAAAGGCATTTCCAAACAAAAGCTGGGAAAATTCATGCTGCACTACGAGAAATGGTAAACAAAGTTCTTCAGACTTGAAGAAAATGAACACAGAGAAAAATCATGATAGGCAGAAAGCAATGGTGATCAGTGGGGCAAATATCAAGGAAAATATAAAATAATATAGTTTTCAATTTCTTTAAAGGACAATTGGCTATTTGAAGCAAATAGAGCAACGTATTATGGGATCATAATACACAGAGAAATAAAACATGACAATAATAATACAAAAAAAGGCAGAGTAAATAGAATTACACTATTGTAAGGCTGTTAAATGTTTCATGAAGTTGTAATAGTTACTCATGGTAAAGTGTGATGAATTAATTATACATATTGTAATCTAGAATAACCACTTAAAAATAATACAAAAAATGGTGAAACTAAATAGCAATAGGGTAATAAAATATAATACAAAAGCCATCCGAAACACACCCACAAAACCTCAATTTCCAAATAAAGAAATAAGGAACAGAAAGAGAAAATGAGTAAGAACTAAGATAATAAAATTAAACCCAAGAACATCCCATGTAATTATGTTAAGTGTAAGATATATTCAACACTCCAATTAAATATGGGTTTACAAAAAGACCCAACTGTTTACAAGAGACACGTTTTTAATATAAAGACAGAAAGTGAAAATAAAATCACGAAAAAAATATACATTGCTAACACTAACCACAGGAAAGCCAATGTGTCTAGATTAGCATCAAAAAAAGCTGAACTGTGAAAGTATCATCAGTGATAAAGATGGATATTTCATGATAAAATAGCCATTAATAAAGCCCAAAATTTGTTCTCTGCTTAGACTAACAGGCTTGATAAATCCTCTTTTTTCAGCATACAATTTCAGGAGGTGTATGATCTCCTGTGTGTTTATGAATCTCTATTTACAACCTCTTTTCAAAGTCACACTATCTTTAAATACAATGATTTTATTTTCAGGCACGTAACCCCCTCAATTATCATCTACTTGATTCTTTCATGTCAGTTACCTGGAACTTCACCTTCTGGTTGATGTCCTGCACACAGAACTGCTTCAGGAAGCGCTCATCCTCACTCCAGAAGAGGCGGATGTCGGGGATGTCGTAGAGGACCATGGCCAGCCGCTCCAGCCCAAGGCCAAAGGCCCAACCGATCTGATCTTCAGCACCAGCTACAAAGAAGAAAGAAGACAAGACAACAGGTTAAAAAGCACAAGGGCAATACTCCAATATAAAATAAAAAGTTTAAAAAAAAAAAAGAGCACGAGGGTCCACAGGTCCATCCCACTCCTGACACCCAGATAAGGCCGTGGTGAGTGCCGACCAGAAGGGTGCTGGTGGGGGGAGGGGCCGCGGAGACACCCAAGGGGACCCCGATCTTACAGTTTTCGTGCTCCCCACATCCCTCGCTCCCCTCCCCGAGGCACTCTGGAGTCGAACTTCTCTAATACTGTCTTTCATTTCTGCTTAAATCCCAGGCTGGCTAAGCCCTGGTTCCTGCCTCTGAGATACTTTCCTGTAATCTGCGCTCGCCCTTTTTCCAACATTCAGCCTCTATGTTCAGGTTACAGAGAGGAGAGAAAACACAGGCTCTGTCCCCAGGTGGCTTACGAGATGGGCAGGTTTGTTCAAAACATGCCACAGTGGACCACTGATATTCAGGAAGTGTGTGTCCAGCCTCCAAGAACCCTCAGTTTACTAGAACACACTCTGACTCTTAGTAAAAGCTGCCCCAGTAACACACAAGGAGCAAGCCCGCCAAGGTGACATGCACACGTGGCACCAGCCCCTCCGAAGGTGAGCGTGTAGTTCAGACCTATGGCAACACATGAAGTCTCGGGTTCATTCACGTGAAGCAGAGTGAGATGGAAGACACAAACTGCTGTGCGAAGGGGGCAAGGGAGCAACGCCCAGCACAGGGAAAAGCTCACGAGACAGCGTCATTTCGACTGGACTCTGAGGGGTGAGCAGGACGCTGGGGGCGCTGAGATGGCTCAGGACGCCCACCCCCACGCACACGCCCTGCGAGGGGACCCCTTAGGGACTGCTCCCCAATCCCTAGGGTTTCACTGCTGGGATTAGGTTACTTTATGCAAGTCCATCTTAGCAAACTCCAGAGAGTCTCCTGCTGGCTTAGGAGAGCTGAGCTGACGTGAAGAGAGGAGGCCCAGGTGTGGCCAGACCTGGACGGAGGCCTCCGGGAGCCAAGGGAGGCCCTGGCGGCAGCAAGAAGATGGGAAGCTCACTCCCGCGATCGTGAGGAAATGGATTCTCCTGACAGCCCGAATGAGGGAAGACAGGACCCTGAGCTCCAGAGGCGAACGTGGCCTGGTGACACCCTGATTTCAACCTGTCGAGACCCTGGGCGGGGGACCAGGCCCTCTGCACCGGACTGCTGACGCACGGCGGTCGTGACATAACAAGTGAGTGCTGCTTTAGCCACTAAGTATGAGGTTATCTGTTACCCAACAAAAAAAATTAATGCTGCTCCAAATGCAGAGAAAGATGCAGGCAAGTTCCAGACTGAAGGAACGTCTTCACCGGCCGGGCAAGCTTCAGGCAGGAGAGACACAGCAGAGAGGACCTACCTCTGGCCAGGGGCTGGCGCCACTGTCACTTATAAATGGAACCACGAGGATAAACTACAACAACGGAAGCCACGAAGAAGTGTGAGCCTCACTGGATGATCTGTTTAAAAGATGAATGGATAAAAATATTCAAAATGAGATCTCAAAAGGAAAAGGTACAGAGAGAGAGAATGCGGCAGTAGGGGGAGGGAAGACACGCAGGAAGAAAAGCACGTGGCTGGGCAAGTGCGGAGCCACCTGTGTCCTGAGTAAGATGACCTCTCATGCGAGGCAGGGGGGAAGGGGGGCTTAACACAGACAGGGGGGCCACGAGGGAGGGAGCACAGCCCCTGACCCTTGGCCGGCTGCCTAGAAGAGCAGCTAAGGGTTAGGCACCCTTTTTCGAGTAAGTCATACTGATGCCTGAAAACCATAGAGAAGGCTGCAATGAAAAATGTAAAAATTAATAGAAGTGTGATACACTGCTTCTGTGTCCTAAAAGAATAATTTTCTCTTTAAGCGACAATGCCCAGGCCTGGTGGTGTGGTTCCACACGCCGAGCACTGCGTGGTCCCAGTGCCCTCGGTGACTGCCAGTCACACTATTTATTCTGGTAACAATTTGCAAAACACAGCAGCACACACAAAGATCCATAACAACGCTCAAACTCTTTATCCTTATGGTTCCATTAGGAATTTATCCTAAGGAAATAATTCAACAGAAGAAAAAAGATAAATGAAGGAAGATATTCAAAGCTGTATAACTTATTACAGCAAGAACATGAAGACAAGCTAAATGCCCCAAATTAGGGAAGGCCTTAAAGTTATAGTACAGTTTAGTGTAGTCATTAAAAATCATAATTATACAAATAAATGTTGATCAAGTGACAGACTATAAGAAATTATGAAAAATGTCTATGATAAAATGAGTATGTACTATGCCACTGCTATTTAATACAGGTGCACATGAGGGTTGTAACGTAAAAAAATAAAAACAAAATCTGATAAGTAAAAGACGGTAACAGCGCATTTTTATCTTGCGTTTATCTTAAGTAAGCTTTTCATTTGCTTAAGGATCGTTTTTTTCCCTTTTCTGTGAATGTCTTCATATTATATTTTTCACCCATTTGAAAAATGAGATTGCTGCTCTTTTTCTTGCCTACTTCTAGGGGCTCTGTGTTATTCTTGTTTTGCTTTAGGAAAGTTTCAGAAGATGAGGAAGAAAGGGAGGGTAACGGATGGAAGGAGCAAAAGCTAAGACACTAAAAATTGCTGGATGTGAAATAAACTCAAAAACCCTGAATCTACTGCTCTTTCAATTATAGATACTGGGCTCTAGATGGTTGGTTTTATCTAAAAATTTCATAATAAAATCTAAAAGAGTTAATAATTAAGGAAAAAGTCTAACTCACAAAGCAACATTAATATTCCACCTCTATTATTTTTTTATTTGAAAAGATGTTTCAGAAACATGTTTTAAAGTTGTTTGAAAACTAGTACCGTTATGGGATGTCATGGTTATAAAAGGAGAGCAGCAGCCGTCTGTTTCGGGGGGGGGGGGGTGGGGGAGAACTGCGCCAATGGGGGGGAAGGGGGGGGGGGGGGACTTTATACCATGTGCCTTTTCTATCAAGTGTGAGGAGAAATATTCCAGATAAAAATTTTCATGGCTAGATAAAACACAGTAGTTTCTCTTCTGTTTATTTTTGAGAAGTTATAAGAACAAAGCACTCCTCCCCTGACACAGTGGTGCCAGACTTTCAAAAAAATCATGTGACTAGCGAACATGGATTACAAGCTGAACTGACCTCTTTATTTCTATGAGAGCCAATACATTTCCAAGCCTGGAAAATCAGTGTCATTATCCGTGGGGTTTCAGAAAACGACCACAAGCTCCTGCATATCCTCCCCTTGAATCCCAGTGGGCTGTGACCGCTTCAACCCACAGGGTGTGAGGGAAGTGATGCTACGTGACTTCCAAGGTTACGTTAGAAAAAGCCACCCAGCTAGTGCCTGGTGGCTTGGAATGCCCGCTCTCCAGACACTCCCTCCCAGGAATCTCCCTGCAGAACACCCTCTCTTAGAACCCAGCCGCCAAGCTCTGAGCAGCAGTCACACGCAGAGGCCACACGAGGCGCTCCAATGGACAGTCCCAGGTGAACCCCGTCATCCTAGCCTCGCGGCAGGCAGGTGAGTGAGGCAGATTCAGGAGGATTCCATGTGCAGCATGAACAGAGAAAAACAAAAAACTATAACAGAACATTAACAAATGGAACCCAGCAATACACAAAAGGACATTGTATCACGGCTGGATTTATCCCAGGAATGCAACGTTAGCTCAGCAGATGAGAACCAATCAGTGTAATTCATTTCATAAGCTGCTTAAAAAAGAAAACATGATCATCTCAATAGATGCAGAAAAAGCAACTGGCAAAATTCAACATCCATTCATTATAAAAACTCTCAGCCAATGAGGAACACAGGGGACTTCTTCAATCTAATAAAAGACACAATAAAAAAAACAACAGCTAATAGTATACTCAATGGTGAAAGGCTGGTTGCTTTGCCCTCAGGGTCGGGTTGAAAAGAAGGATGTCTACTCTTGCTATTTCTATTTCTGTCTGAGTTCCCAGCTAGTGGAAAAAAAAGGTAAAGAAGAAATAAAAACAGCTGAATAGATTGGAAAGGAAAGAGTAACACTGTCTTTATCTGTAGATGGCATGATTGTTTACATAAAAATTCCTCGGGAACGCATCTGACAGGAAACAAATACATGAATTTAGGAAGATCACAAATATACAATAATCCATGGTGTGTGTGACTCGGGGCCTCAGTCCCACGTGGCTGCCAGTAAGGACAGGCCTGAGAGGACGCCAGGCTCAGGCCAGCAAGGGGCCATCCCATCAGCACCTGAAATCCCAACCAGCTTGTGTGTCGAAGCTCAAGGACTAGACCTCCACGAGGAGCAGGGAACAGCTGGCCTCCAGCTTCCTGCCACTGCCCACAACCCTTGATTCTCACAATCATTCTTACTGAAAAGCCTGCTTGTGACAATCTATTACCAGGAAGGGCTGTAAGAAAGGGCGTCTATTCGCTGAGCTGTACCAGATTCTGTTTTTGAAACACTTTGCTTTGGTCCCATCTAGATCTGCTTCTTCTGAATTGCACCCCCTGCACTGAGCTACCGGCCTATTATATTCGTAAGGTGCCAGGAACTCCTTGTCAAGAATGCCGGCCACTAGGTCACTCAGTCTTCCTGCGAGTCTTCATGAAATAAGCTGGTCTCAGATCTAAGAAAATGGGAACAGGAAAAGCTTCCTTCTCGTGAACAACTGGATTGTTTTCAGTTTAAGGATATCGCGACTTACGTAACTGATCCTAATCTACTCCTTACTTTGGCCCCGTGGACGCTTAGAGCCATCCTTCCAAGGTCACCTCTACAACGGTACGTTTCTCTGTGTGACTCTTGTCCCAGTTTTATTTTCTTATCCTTATATCCTCTTTGTCCTGATTATCTGAACTACTTATTTTATTCTCTTGCACATACTTTTATATGGCAGTTCCACTTCTCTACGGAAGAAAGAGAGCCATAAATAACTAGATACT